ATATATATATATATATATATATATATATATATATATATATGCTCTCGAGATATTTTCTCTAGTCCGCTGGACACGAATCACACTTGGGAAGGGAATGACAGGCGTTTATATATAATGCTGAACCCATCAGATTGTTCGACCAGTAAAATTGAAGTCTTACATGGACCAATCATAAAAACACAATTGATGTAGTAAAACAAATGATCAATTCAAACGACACTCCAACACAATATATATATATTCTTTCGTAAATTAGTTGATTTCTGTTGGAAGGCAACAGTGCAGTGGTTTAGTCCCTATCATCAGCGTGCTTTGAACCCTATGGTCCGAGGTTCGAACCCCGTGATCACCACCCAATTTGGTTGCAGGCAGCTTTGCTGTCGTCCGGTTCTTTACGTACACGGCCTTATGTGGTCCGCCACTTCAAGTCCTGGGGCTTGGGCTACCGGTTTCCATCAGTGAATATCAGGTCGTCGTGACTTTCATGGGTCTGCCCCGTCTGCTGTTTATCACCCTGAAGTGTGTGATAAAATCTATGACATAGTTGCTCATTTCCAGGTTGTACTGCTTATGCGCTCACTTTTTTCCATTGACTAATTAATAATGACTAGGTGCCCATAACTGACCTGTAGGATTGTTTGAAACACTGACAGCTTGAGACGAATCTGACTGATATTTAATTAATTAACACGTTGCCAAAAGAAACACCAACTGTACTCTATGCATTCATTGCATCAGTGATGGCCGAATTTAATGTAGAAAGAACTTGGTCGTGACTTTTTCTTCATTCTTCCGACATCTTAACACAAGATCAGGCTTCATACCCAAGTAGCTTAACATATGATTCGATGGGATACACGCACCGCATCTTGACATTGTACGATAAACAAAACACAGGCCGTAGGCAAGCATATGTTTACGATCAGTTCTTTCTCAAATCATTACAATCACATTTATGTGAGAAAATAGCAGGAGGGTTTTGTGTTGGAGTCAAATAGTCGAGGTCAAATGATTCTAGCAAAGTGGGGTAGGAACACGCTTGCCTCTGATTCTATTGTTCAAATAAGAACAAGCGTTGATAATTGATTTAGGCCATTACAGCACTTATACTTGGTGTTGCCCACTTTGGGCCAATGAGGTTTAAGTGCCTGAACAAGTGGTTTTTGGCACTTAATTCTAGCTTCAACAAGCGGGATGATAATTGCCTCGGATGTTGCAAGCGTTTAAATTTGAGCAGCCTTGGATTTGTGTTGTCGGACGTGATAAATGATGGTAAAAGCCGAATCAGCATGTCCAGTTTCGATCAAGTATGCAACAATGAATCTGGAAACAATTCTGATTCCACCGTTTCCAAGTCACTTGAGTTGTTATCCCTTGTTTTTAGAAAGCTGACTTGTCGTACGCAAGTGGTGCCACAGGTGCACCTAAACTGGTAGATGAGCATTGACGAGGTCAACGTAGGCAATTTATCCTTGTTCTGACATTGGATGACAGATGATGTCGAGAACGTGCATCTGAGTTCGGCAACATTGAACGTTGTCTTAACCGCGGCACTCAGGGTTCTAATAACCCTTTCGACTGCTGGATCTTCTTTTAACGGAAGTTTGATGACCAAAGCCTTTTTCTCTGCTCTAGCCGCAACCACCTGTTTTGTTCTTTCAAACCAGTTACGATTGATGAACGTTTCCGGGTAGCCATTTTCTGATAACGTTTTTCGCACAACTGCCAGTTCTTTTTCTAATGCATCTGCTGAGCAGATGTATCTTGCTATGAACTCACCGATCTGTGTTCTAGTGACGACGATGACGTTGGTTTTCGGTTTTGTTGTGTCTAAAGTCCGATTTTCGAAGCGCCTACCGTGTAAACACACAAAGCGCCCACATACCGGTTCATCTCCGCAACCCTCCATCGAACAACACGTTCCTTCTGAAACGATCTCTTCATTTTTTCCTGTTTCACATTCCCATTCCACTTACTTGTCCCCTCCCTTTAAAATGGAATGAACATTTTTACTAGAATGATAAACTCAAACTTCGATTTGGGTGTATCGTTTGTCGCACGGTTTATCTGTAATGATCGAGTCGCTTCCTCACCACTGAAATCATTGAGACAACTAGAAGAACGTTTCGACGAATCCTGAACTCTGTGCCATCAGTCCTTTGTTCGTTCTCATTCGGAACAAAACTGAGCGTCTACGGACTTCATTTGCTTGTGCGCTTCTGTGACGCACCGACACAAAACGTCTCTAATAAGGATTATTTCTCGCGCATGGCAATAGCATAAAGCTGCCCCAAAATTATGTAAATATTAACGGTCCGAATGCTCTTTTTATTCATCCTATTGGTCACTGAGTGCTATCCTAATTTTCGGTATGATAAAACTAGTAGCACCCATAGTGCCGATCTCGATAATGCTTAACTAGTCTCATTGAAAGTCGGTGCATGTTCCCCAATAAATATAAATAACGCGTTTTTCTAAATATCTTTGAAAAGAGTTCTATTCCCGGTTACTATCAGTCCAGTTTAAATCCACAATTTCATCCTGTCACTTGAAATTCTTCGAGTTTAAAATTGACGCAGCTGGTCATTCTTAACCACCAGAACACAGTTCCACGTACAACAGACGACCCACGTACAAACCCAACAAATGCACCTTAGATGCTGTCGCTGCCCCTCGTCATCGCGTCACGTGGTACTTTCGCCGATAATTGCTCGGTTGGTTGACTTCATTCATCGAGCGATTCTCGCTGGAAGCCAACGAATTTCGGATAACCACATTCTGTAATGGGATGGACAGCGGGCTGTTTCTTAAAAGGCCGATAGTAAATGGATCTAGAGTGCTTCCAACAGCAGTTCCCTCTCCTTGTTGTGCTAACTACTCTCAAAAATCAAGCAAGCCTCTCCTGAAACTAATTTCAAAAGAATAGATCATATCGCAGTACTGCACGATTTATGTCCAGGGCAATTTCGCTGCATCTCAACAAGGTGCATACGACAGAAAATGCAATGATTATCAAGGGTAACAAAGCAAAGCAAAATACTTTAAAACAGACAAAATAAAAAGAGGGTGAAGTAAACGGAATATTTCACCAGGATAAGGACAGACTAACATGAAGTGCTTTTTGACACAAAGGGGGTGGGGGTTCCATCGATTAATGGCAATCGCTTCAGCAAACCTTAGAAATCTTGCGACTCCTGACTTGTAGACATTCCAAAGCGCTGTGCTTCGGTCGATCTAGAGTTGCGTCATCAGCAGATGTCGAGCAATGGTTGAGGACGTGGTCTTGTGGTTTCGACCGTCGTTTCTATGCCGCGAACTTGACCTCGATTGTGTCTTCTGGTTTTGGGTCCAATTTGTAATATGGTCCACCACCCGATTGCGTAATTGTCTCTCTGTTCTGCCCACGTAGGTCGCTCCGCTCCCACAGGAATCGGTAGATCAGATTGGAGTTGGCGTACAGAGGTCGACGTTTTTTTGCCAGGGGTGTGGGTATTCCAGTTACATTAATGGCTTATCTGTTAATTCGTCTGTCAGACCTCTTAACGACGTGAATAAAGTGGTTTTGACAGTAACTGTTTCCGATACCCTCCAATTCACTTCATTTTGAAGTAATTTTTCCAATTTGCAGAATTTTCCCTGGATTCTGATTTTTGTTTTGTTTTCAAATCGATCGGCATGAATTTCGACTAGCAGATTGTTTGATAAAGGTGATTTTATCGAAAAGATAACTGTTTTTAATGTATTTTTATATGATGAACTGGTGGTGTAAATGAGGCGTGAGCTGAAAAGCTGGGGACCTCACAGGTAGAACACCAGCATACTACCCACTCGGCTACCGGGCAGCTGATCAGACCGTTTCTCATTTTGAATTGACACAATATAACACAACCCGTCTATGTGAGCTTGTTGCGAGTATCGGTTTTCGCTCATTTCAGCACTAGCCTCCCCCCCCAGGGTTATGAGCCGTTTGAAAACTTTCACACTGATTATTTTGTTGCATGAGAGTAGTGGAGGATTTTTGTGTTTGTTTATATGATGAATTCATCATGTAAATGTGGCGTAAGCTGGGAAGCGCTGAACAACTGTTTCGACCTGGTTGGGTCTCATCAGGAGATACATCTTTAATAGCTCACACAACCGGTCTAAATAAAGTGCTTGCCTCTAGTAAGTTTCCGCACTGGGTTGCCAGTCTACCCCCTCTTGTAAGTCAGTCCGATGAGTCATAGACTGGCTACAGTTCCAACAGAAAAACACTTCATTGTTCTGAGCTCTCGACAGATATTTGATGACTTAAGCTCTCAATCACCACTGTCAAATTTTCTTGTTTACCGAATAACGCCGATAGCAAAGGACAACGCATTGAACAAACGAGTGTATTGCATGTGTCGGAATGGCTCTCTCTTTCAAGTTATATCGCAATTATTAGTCTCTGTATGTCTGGGTGAACAGCGAAAGACCTCATCATCGTGTCCGTGTGATTGAAACTTTTCTGAGATGAATAATGAATCATACAATGATTTGACCCAATCTTTTCATTCGATAGGATAGTACGATAAACGACGGGAGAGGTGAACTGCGTGCTGGCGAAGATCTATTGTTCGGTTAGGGTGATAAATCACCTGGGGTCTTAATGTTGTATCTTCACTTAGCGGATATTTCCTACTTGTCAGTACTCGCATACGATATTGTGGTCAGTCCAAAAGCCACCTGGTGACCCATTTTTGACTGGCACACTAAACATGAGACTACACTGGCGTACAGCGATTCCGAGGTATATATTGATGTACACTTCAAAGGCGCCCCCACCCCGAAAAAAACAAATGTTAGACGCTCTCTTCTTGCAGTCAAGATAAATTCCTCTATCAGCCCCTTGTTAGCATGGTGGAACAGTGTATGCAGATCTAATTTGTAAAGATTCTGCGGAATGAAGAACATACCTAGGGTAGAGCGTGCTGTAACAATTCCAACCCCTTACTTGCGAACAAATTAGCCGCACAATCTGTTGACTTAAAAACAGTAATTCGTAGCCACGAATTTGTTCAGCTCAATCCAAGGTCAGTCACGATACACATATTTGTCTACTCGGAAAAAACCGCACGAATTTCAATGCGGGCTCATTTTACCCTTTTGAGTTGTCGGTGGACTACTCGATCAATGCTGTGATACATGGCTTCGGTTGACTTTACGCACAACTCGTTCCGTAAACCCAAACGGAATCGGTTAAATCGCGAGTTGCCCTCTCATTTGGTTAATTCAGATTCCAGTGAATGCACACTTTGTATCGTACACAAGGTGTTTTCCAGCTATATCACCATTTACCTTGCATCATCACCATCACAATGAGACTACATCTTGACGTGGTGTGATGATTTGCTCAACTCTCTGACCCAACGAGCTACATAAGATTGCTTTTGTCAAGTCAGGAGATCCTATCATTCCTGGAAAGTCGAAGGTTAGAGGTCAGACGAAATCCAGTCTCCTGGTCCAGATTGGGGGTTCAACTCGAGTTAGCGTCAGTCGGTAAAATGGTAGAGTGATTGATCCAAGTAAATGGGCCTCTACTTCGCTTTACTCGCTTCCTTGCGGTCAGGTTCTTGTCAGAACTAAAGGCTTTGGACAAGAACTCTAATTATTCTCCTGCTTAGTGGCTGGACACCCTGGCAGTCCATCAAACTCAAATGCATACACAACCAAGAAATAATTCCATACTGCATCGGTCGTCGCGCAGGATAATCAGGACCGCGCTGCCCATTGCATCGAGCGGGGGTGGGTAGTGATAAGTGGGCTACTGCTCAGATATCCCAACATTGGTTTTACTCTTTGTCTTCCGTTCCCAACCCTTTCCCCCTTCTTTCGACCTGTAATATTCCCTCAGACAACTTGTTTTTCACTTGCCAAAATTAGTCGCCCGTTAAGTAGTTTACCACAAAGTAGATAACAGATTCTTGAGCCTCGTCAAACACTGAATCTGGGGGCCATCAACTTGAGGACGCTAATACAGGTGGGTCAACAAGCGTGTCTGGTGCGTTCAATGTACTCTTTGGGGATTGATGTCTGCTGCCTATCGGAGACGCGAATCCAGGATCCTCGTACTATAAGCCACTTGAGTGCACCGGAGTTGTCTTCGAGGTACTTCCTCCGTTCGTCAGGTGACGACAAAGTCCGTTCAGTAGGCCAGCGTGGCGTAGGCATTGTACTCGATAACACAACTGATTCATCACTACTTGATGGGATCCCCGTCAACAGTCGCTTATGTGCGATGCGGCTTCAAGGGGTTATTAGCGTCCGAAAGGGAAGCAATACCATAAAAGTTTATTGATCATCTCAACGTATGCACCGATCAATTGCAGTTCTAGTGCGCAAAAAGACGAGCTTTATGATACACAAAAGTTTCTCAGGAAGCAACAGGTGCTGTCATGCGAGGTAAAGTAATGAGGAACGTTTGGTTGTAGTAGCGGCGTGATGCAATGGTGACCAACACGGCTTGATCGCTCACTGGCCTTGTGACGCGGATCACGACTTGCAGATGAGATGATGAAATCAATCAGCAATTCGCTCTTCATTTTATCATAATCGAATGATTGAAACTCTTGAAACGTTATCCGTGGTGGTCGAAACGTCGGCTTCTTGTCACCTCTATACCGACTAAACCGAATTACGTAATCCTCTATATCATCGTCGAAGGTTTGTACATACCATACAAATATCAGGTCAGACCGTGAAAAGCTATTGTCCGTTCCATTGAAGGTCGATTTTTGATGAAAGAAGTTATTATGGAAAGGTGAACAGCTTCATACCCTGCCTGTAACTTTTTGATTCGTTTGTTGGCGTATTCGGCGTGTGTCATCAACGGTTCCTGTCAAAATTTAGCCTTTGTGTCGCACAAAGTAATCCTAAATTCCGACCTTGTCTAATCAAACATGTACGACTAACTCGGGGAACTATCTTGCTGAATGAGAGAAGTCGGACAGTCTGGGGTTGAACTTAATTCATCGGTTGAGAATAACTGGGTCTATATCGATTGGGCAGCGTTCTGTGACTTTTTCTACCAGTGTGTCACCATTAATTAATCATTCCCGCCCCCTAGAGAAGATTTTAGCGCCCGTAAAAGAAACAAAATAGTTTTTAAACAAATAATAAAGATAGTTTGTAGCTATTTGTTTCAACTTTTTCCTAAAGAAATGCTCATATTTCGGAGAAAAATATACTTGGAGACTAATTAAAATGGAGGCATAGTCACCGGTCGGAAGAGTATTGTCCAGTGTTGGAAGATTTAGGCGGGACATGGAACGTATGTGTAATACCGCACAAACCACCGTGTAGAACACCAGTTCGATCAAATTGTATTTGCCTGCAAATTTGACGCATACAGTTCGCACAATCTATAACTACTTTGTCAGGGAGTGTGAGTGATACTTGACTGAGACTAAATGATAAATATTTTAAACTATTCCTCCAGAAGACCAGTAGAAATAACAGGGAGTTATAAGATATAATGCGGTAAATGCCTCTGCTGCATATTATGACTTAGTGAGTTGTCTCAAAGACGTCTCCTGAGGATTCTTCAAATAGCTGTGAATGTGAAGTTTTCACCTTGATTTGTATCAGCGAGCACCCCAAAATATTCGACCGATTTTAGTACTAAAGCCCTTCTGAATCTCTCCGGGTTTATTCGCGTTGACGAACGCGATTTGAAAAACACTATCGATTGAGTTTACTTCTTTGTCGACCGTTCCTTCTGATCTATTTCTGCTCCAGTCCGTCGCTGTATGACATACACCTAATCCCCTGATAGCGCTTTGCGATACTGTAATTGTTTCTAAATTAATTTTCGTTTCGTATAAAAGTACACTCTCACAACAATGGTGACGGTGATGTATCCTCTTAATTGAGCTGTATTTAACACGAGTTATAAAATGAATGAACAATCTCGGAAAAAATTAGGTATTTCTACTGAGGGCGAAATGACCACGATAAAGCATGTACGCGTCATTCTGTGTGGGCACATTTTCGTATTATTTCAGAATACATCGATAAAACATATGGCATAAGCATGCAGATAGTTTCTTTAATCATTCTTGCGATTTCTTTTTAGCGCACGCACTTCCAGACGACGTGTGTCTTCCGGTCAATTTGTCGGACATTCTGAACCGTGGATCAAAAGGTCGCTGGTGGATAGTAGGTGTGGCCGGTAAAAATAATGCCATGTCTTCTACAAACCCAAACAATTCCGTGACTGGGTCTTCGACAGATGTGTCCTTCAAGTTGTCACCGGAAGTGAGTGATCCATAAACCGCTGAAGTCCGCGAAAACCTATGAGTTTTCAGTTGTCACAACGATTGTTCTTGCACTGTCATGCAACGGTAGGTTTGATATCTTCCAGGGGCACTTGGTCGCCTAATGCTGGAAGAGTACAGTTCGGCGCATCATCCAAATAAGGATTTAGAAAACAAATTAGCCAAACACGTACAGATTGAGTAAATGCACGAGCGCCACCGTTTACGCTACTCAGTTATAACACTCAGTGTATCGAAACATCGATTAAGCTATTACGAGGTCCCCAACGAAGATGTATATGATCGAGAACCGTGGTCAGTGTTTTCATACCCTCATGCTAAGTATTATTCTGACAACTCTTTACCTTACTCCACATACCTTGGCAAACATCGCATGGCGTGGTAATCTATTTGGTGACGTAAGTAACACACCCGAACCAGCGCA